GACGTCTACGTCGTGATGTAAATAAACGTGAACGAGTTGAAACAATAAGACTACCGGATGACCGTCATGTCCAAAGAGATGTTAGCACAAGTTTAGTAGACAATCGTGAAGAACGTCGAATTGACAATCGCAGAACTTATCGTGATGTTGACAGACGTTCAGATGTTAATATTGATTCTCAAAGAGAACGTGTAGAACGACTTGAACAGCAAGAAACTATAAGATTCGATGATCGCCAAGTACAACAAACGCTATCTCACGTTCGGAACACAGCCGTGAAGTACGACGTGATGTTAACCGCCGCTCAGATGATATTCGCCAGTCTCGACGTGTAGATATTCAGAAACCTTCACAAAGAGAACGGGAATCAGTACAACGTCGTGATGTAAATAAAAAGGAAAGAGAAACTTTGATGCGACTTGATGACCGTGAAGATGAACGTAGTACCACCACCAGACGTTTAGAAGTCTCCCGTGAATCTCGACGTAATAGTGAGGTACGTGAACATAGGGAACAAAGTGATATTAGCAGACATATTGATAATACCCGTGATTATCGAGAAGAACGGGAAGTAAGACAGAATGAACATGAATCTTTGAGGCGTGAATCACTACGACAAGAAAACAGACGTTCAGTAGATAATCGCGAGGAACGTCAAGAAGATTTAAAACAATTAGATGAACGTGTTGATATTAGGCATTCTGATAATACTCCTGACTTTGAACGTTTAATTGAAACTAGACGTGAACGACAAGAACGTGGAGAAACTTTAAAACGTCTTGATGATCGTCAAGCTTATCGTGACATCGGTAGGAGCTCGGAAGATATCCGCGAAGACCGTCGAGAATCTTTAAGACAATTGGATGAACGTATATACGACAGAAGACTAGATGGCCGTCAATCCAAGAGTGGAACCAGTAGACGCTTGGAAGAAAACCGCGAAGATCAACGTGATATCAACAGAATTTCGAAAGACAATCGTGAAGATCGCCAAACCGAAAGAGCTGTAAGCATGCGTTTAAATGTTATTCGTAAATCTGAACGTGTCTCTCAAAGCGAAAAAGAACAATTAGAAACCCGCGAAACCTTAAACCGTTTCGATGATCGTCAAACCGAGCGTGATGTTACAAGACGTTCAGAACACATCAGTAAAGATCATCAATTTAGACGAGAAGCTCAACGTGAAGTTATTAGGCATTCAGATGATGATGCCCGTGATCGTCGAGAACGATTTGAACGTTATGAAACTTTGAGACGATTTGATGACGGTGAAGCTGAACGAAAAGTAAATCTACGTTTACAGGAACGACTTTCCCAAAGAGTACGAGAAGCTGAACGTCAAAACGAAGAGCAAGAACATAGAAGAGAACGTGTGGAACGGCAGGAGCAAAAATCTCGTGTTTTCCAAATGGAATTTGAAAATAGACGAAACGATGTTGTAGAACCTAATACCGAGCGTACATTTACTCAAACCAAATAATGATAATAACAATCAACGTAATTACCGCTATATCAAAGATGACTATGCTGTGAAATCAACTGTTTTCCTCAAAAATAGCTACTTGTTCTTGGGTCAAGGTGTGATCTTGGCATTTGTAATTATGAAAACTCTTAATGACAAAGATAATTTAAAGTAAGTACAATTTATTGAAATTAATTTTTCTATTTAACAATTATTAATATTTAATTTATTTTTACAGAAGCCAATTACCCCAAAAACTACGTACGGCTGTTGATATGATAGGTTTTTAAGGAAATGGAATATGTACAATTGAAATTCTACTCAACTTGGCAATGGAACAAATACTGTATATAATATATTAGAGAAATCAAAGACAAAAAAATGTGTACCTAAAAGCAAGATTATTTTATTTAAATAAATATATTATGAAAAACTTATATTAATTTAATCCCCATACAAATAATTTTGTGAGCAACGAGTTTAACTAATGCTAAAATATGTTGTATTGTAAAATACTATTATCGAAATACATACTATAAATATTTATATAAATGTATACTAAATATGTAAAAATATTGTTATTAAAATAATTAAAAATATGCAAGAAATATAAAGTTGAGTTTAATTTAATTTCGAAATTTGTAAAATCCTTCTAAAAGGAAACTAAATGGAAACTAAATGTGATTGAAATATATATCCTTTCCCTGTCGAATATAAGACTATAAAGAATAGAGTTTAGTGATAAATATACCCTGTGTCCAGTGGTCATTAACACTTATTTTATGATTCCACTCAAGAATCAAATTTTTAATCCTTATGATGCCAACAAATTTCGTTTATGAGAAAATGGATTTTTAGTTTTTCACTCATAAGAATGAATTTTTAAATATGTATGACCTACATTGTAGGACTTGACAAATTTTTGTGTTTTTCTTGGGTCTTCAGTTTTCGAGAAATATTCTTTTTTTTTTTTTTTTGTAAAACAAATATTTTGATTTAAGCACATAAAATTTAAAATTTAGAGAATTTCACTGTTAACATTATAAACCAAAGTATAACTTTGTTATAAACATTAAAGTTAATGGAAAATTATAATATTCTATACTTGTCTGCAGTTTCTAGGAAAAATGTATTTTCATGTTTTCAATACTTTCCCGAGCAAAATATTTTTAAATTTGTTTTTACTACTGTTGGAAAACTTATAAATATTTGAATTGAAATGAACACGCGAAATGAACTAGTTCGTTCATAAACTACTTAGCAAATACCTGCAAAAATATCGAAATACTTCCAAAAAAATTACTTTTATCACTACTTCAAGTGTAATGTGCAATGATTTGCAAGCGAAAATAATTATATTTTTTTCAAAACTGAATATTTATAACAACTTCCAAAAAGAACTTAAAAATTATTACTTGAGAAAGATTTAGAAGTAGTGAATTTGGAATCAAATAAAAAGGTCCTCCCTCCTACGACAAACCTATGTCTTTTACAGTACCTCCATTGAGTAAATTTTGTGCAATTTATATGGATGCTAATTATATGCAATTTAAACACGATTGTAATACTTTTCGATCAAGTTAAATCCGCAAATAATTTGTGAGAACATTTTTGAAAATGATGCGTATAGCTTCTAAGTAAGTTATGAACCGATGTGAAAAATCTTGAAATAGAATTTTTGTATACAAAATTAATATTTGTGCCAATTTTTTTATGTACCACTATTTGCTAATGAGTTATGTGCCTTTAAGTGTTTTTCTGAAAGGTGCCTTGTATGGGAGCTATGATCAATTATGGACGGATAGGAAAAGAATTATACAGTAATATTTCCGTGTATATGAGCAATACTTGTGCCAAACTTTATATGTGCGTTTAAGTGATTTTCTGTAGGAGACCTTGTATGGGAGCTATGACCAGTTATGGACCGATGGGAAAAAATTTCACAGTAATATTTAGTAATGAGTTATGCGCGTTTAAGTGATTTTCGGGAGGGAACCTTGTATGGGAGCTATGGCCAATTATGACCGATGCAGAAAATTTTTTCTCTAAATGAATTCCATTGACATAAGATATTAATTTGTAAAATGTTGTGAAGATATCAACATTCCGGCGGAAGTTATTAACAAAAAAACTCATTTTCCGTGAATATGTACTTTTGTATGGGAGGTATATGAAATTGTGGAACGATTCTGGCAATTTTCAGCAGGAGTCAAGCTCTTATGTAGAAACGAATATATGATGATTTTCATGGAATTTCATTAATTTATTTAGTATCATTTTTACGTGAGCGTGGTTTAAACAGGACAGACAGACGGACATATCTAAATCGACTCAGAATTTGATAAGGACCCAGAATATATATACTTTGTTGGGTCTCAGATAAATATTTCTTGGTGTTACACACGGATTGACAAAATTATATATACCCTCTATCACCACTGATGGTGGTGGAGGGTATAAAAAACTAATCAAGAATGAGAAAAACAACGTAACGAGAGCATGCCTGATAGAATTATTGAACATTCGGGGTGTTCTGAAAACAGATTTCAACATACATACGGAAAGACAGTTAGGATAGTGACGTCAATATACCTATAAACGAAGAGAACGCCAAAAAACTTAAGGATGGCTTGATGATCGTTAAGTACAACGTGTGATTACAGATTGCACTACACTATTAAACTTACTGAAAAATGGATTATAGTCTAGTCTATAGTCTGGACTATAGTCTAGTCTATAGTCTGGACTATAGTCTAGTATATAGTCTGGACTATAGTCTAGTCCATAGTCTGGACTATAGTCTAGTCTATAGTCTGGACTATAGTCTAGTCTATAGTCTGGACTATAGTCTAGTCTATAGTCTGGACTATATTCTAGTCTATAGTCTAGTCTATAGTCTGGACTATATTCTAGGCTATAGTATGGACTATAGTCTAGTCTATAGTCTGGACTATAGTCTAGTCTATAGTGTGGACTATAGTGTGGACTATAGTCTAGTCTATAGTGTGGACTATAGTCTAGTCTATAGTCTGGACTATAGTCTAGTCTATAGTCTGGACTATAGTCTAGTCTAGTCTAGTCTAGTCTAGTCTACAGTCTGGACTATAGTCTAGTCTATAGTCTGGACTATAGTCTAGTCTATAGTCTAGTCTATAGTCTGGACTATAGTCTAGTCTATAGTCTGGACTATAGTCTAGCCTATAGTCTGGAATATAGTTTAGTCTATAGTCTAGTCTATAGTCTAGTCTATAGTCTAGTCTATAGTCTAGTCTATAGTATAGTCTATAGTCTAGTCTATAGTATAGTCTATAGTCTAGTCTACAGTCAGGACTATAGTCTAGTCTATAGTCAGGACTATAGTCTAGTCTATAGTCTGGACTATAGTCTAGTCTATAGTCTGGACTATAGTCTTGTCTATAGTCTGGACTCTAGTCATGTCTATAGTCTGCACTATAGTCTAGTATATAGTCTGGAATCGTATGTCTAACTTCTTTTCTCGATTAATGTTTCATTGGGGAAACAATCTATTTAAAATAAAGAAAATGTTAATTACACAGGCCAACAAATTTTGAGAAAAATCGAAACTCAGAGATCAATGTATAACTTTCTGCATTACATCAGGATATTAAGCTTTGCATTAATATGTACATATAGAAGTAGAAAGTTAGCAGATAGCACTTTCAGACATTTATATATAAAGGAGTCATCGAGCTGTAATAACGTCTCAAAACGGGATTTTTTCAAACTATATGAAACTATATTTCTAAAACTTGATGTGGTGGATTATTCTGCTCTTAGATTCGGATTCATTTACTTAAGAACTAATTTCATATTACCACCATATTTTACCTTTTATTTTAGTGTTATCCCTACTTATCTATTATTAAATTTAAAATATTTCCTTTTTATTACAAAACCCTACATAATGACGTCATAAGCTTTTTATAATACAGCAATTTCATTCATAAAACTTTTCATTGATAAATAGAAAATAATTTGCTTCTAATACTCCTACAACTTTTAGTACATATGCGGTGGTGCACATGTGCGATAAGACAATTAAATCAATCATTTATTAATTTAAAGTTCAATGAAAAGGAAATATTAAAACTTCCTTTTGCAAAGCAGAGGAAAATTGAGTATAAAAACCGCAAGAAAACGGCTAAGAACCACAGTCAATACAAAGACTTCGAACGAAAGGATTACCAAAGTGATACAAACGCAATATAAATTATTAAGAGTTTAAAACAAGAATATTTTACAGTCGATAAACCTTAAATTTCTAACAAAAAATCTGTATTAAATTGAATAGAAAATAATTAGTGTGACAATGTTATTTGGTTCTTGGCAGTTGAAAACAATTGTCTATGTTCTATTTTTGGCTTCGTGTGTAGGTCAGGAACTATTTCGCGCTTGTGAACGTGATTATTGTTATGAACGTTCTGTCGAGAGCCGCAAAGAAGATCCAAATGATTTAAGAAAGTGGTACCGTGATAGCGGTGAAAGCAAAAGATCTCTAGAACTCGTAAGAGATGCAAATCGTATTGACATTAATGCTCTTGATGAACGTAGTGAGGATAATCGTCGAATAGATCAAAATCTAAATGAACTCCGTCAACGCCAGAGCAAAAGTTATGTACGTCGTGAAACTTTAAGGCGATTAGATGACCGAGATCTTATCAGGCGCTCAAATGAGAACCGCGATGAAACTAAACAAGAACGAACAGAACGTTTTGATAATTTAAGACGTTCTAAAAATAACCGTGAAGAAGATCGTGAAAGCAAACAGGATAATATGGAAAATCGAAACAACTTACGACGATTGAACAAACTTGAAGCTCGATATGATGCAAACGAACGTTCTGAAAATAACCGTGAAAAACGTCTTGAAACTCTAAGAAAATTTAATGAACGTGAAGATCAACGTGATATCAACAGACGCTCAGAAGTTACGCGCGATACCCAAAGGAAACATGAATCAACTCAACGTTGTGATGAAAATAAACGAGAACGTTTAGAACGCTATGAAATCTCAAGAACTAGAAGACATTCAGGGGACAATCGTGCTGAAGGTGACATTAGAAGGTATGTTGGTGAACGTCAATATTCACCAAAGCGTCTTGATGAATCTCAACGTGATATTACCCGTTTAGACGACACTCGTTTTTCCGACGAACGTCTAGATGATAATAAACGCGCACTAGTAGAGCGTGATGAATCATTAAGACGACTCGATATCCGACAATACCAACTTGGTGTTACCAGACGTACGGAAGATAGCGATGAACAACGTCAAATTGACAATCGTGAAACCCATCATAATGTTGACAGACAAGTTGATGATACTCGTCAGTCTCGGCGTATAGACGAACGTTTATCCCAAAAGGAACATGAATTAACACTACAACGTGATGGAAGTAAACGGGAGCGTGAAGAGCGCCATGAACTTTTAAGACGACTAAATGAGCGTGAAGCCCTACGAGAAAGTAATAGGCTTTCAGAAAATAACCATGAACGAGTAGATCGTGATGAATCCTTAAGACGACATGATGACCGCAGACAGGTTTTGCTTGATGTTAGCAGACAGATCCATGAACAACGTCAAATTGACAATCGTGAAACCCATCATTCTGTTGCTAGGCTAGCAGATAATACTCTTCAGTCTCAACGCATAGATAAACGTGCCTCCCAAAGGAAACTTGAGTTATCACAACGTCGTGATGAAAACAAACTGGAACGTGAAGAACGCAATGAATTGTCAAGACGACTAAATGAGCGTGACACCCACCGAGAAATTAGCAGATATTTAAAAGACAACAATGAAGAACGGGAAGATCAACGTGACATTAGAAGTCGTGGAGATGCTACTCACGAATCTCGTAGAACTTATAGTGATGTTGACAGACATTCAGATGTAAATATTGATTCTCAAAGGGAACGTATGGAACGCAGATTTGATGATCGTCAGCAACAGCGTAATGTTATCAGACGTGATGTACAACGTGATGTTAACCGACATTCATATGATATTCGTCAGTCTCGAAGAATGGTTGAAAAGCAAAGAGAACGGCAATCAGCACAACGTCGTGATGTAAATAAAAGTGAACATGTAGAACGTTACGAAACTTTGAGGCAACTTGATGACCGTGAAGAAAAACACGGTACCACCAGACGCTTAAAAGACACCCGTGAATCTCGACGATATAATGAGGAACTTTCACAGAAGGAACAAAGTGATATTAACAGACATATTGATGATACATATGATAATCAACGTATAGAATCACGATATTCTCGAGAAGAACGGGAAGCAAGGCAAGATCGTCGCCAAAATGAACAAGAACTAGTAAAAAGTCATGAATTTTTGGTGAGTGAATCATTACAAAAAGAAAATAGACATTTTGTAGACAATCGCGCAGAACGTCAAGAAACTTTAAGACAATTAAATGAACGTGTTAGGTCAGATACTCCTAAACGTCTACTCCAAACTAGACGTGAACAACAAGAAACTTTAAGACGACTTGATGAGCGTCAAGCTTATCGTGACATCAGCAGGAGCTCGGAAGCTAACCGCGAAGACCGTCAAGAATCTTTAAGACAATTGGATGAACAATGTATAGATGATAAAAGACGTGAAAGCAGTAGACGCTTGGAAGCCAACCGCGAAGATCAACGTTATATCAACAGAATTTCGAAAGACAATCGTGAAGAACGTCATGAAACTTTATCACGATTTGATGATCGTCCAACCGAACGAGCTGTAAGCATGCGTTTAAATGTTATTCGTAAATCTGAACGTGTCTCACAAAAGGAACGAGAACAAATCGAAACCCGCGAAACCTTCAACAGATTTGATAATCGTCAAACCGAGCGTGAAGTTACCAGACGTTCAAAAGACATCGGTGAAGATCGTCAATTTAGACGAGAAGCTCAACGTGATATTAGGCATTCAGATAATGATACCCGTGATTCTCCACGCACAGATAAACGACTTTCTCTAAACGAACGTGATTCAGTATTTCGTCGTGAAGACAACAATCGAGAACGAGTTGAAGCTCAACGAGAAGTAAATCGACGCTTACAGGAACGACTTTCCCAAAGAGAACGAGAAGCTGAACGTCAAAGCGAAGAGCGAGAGCATAGAAGAGAACGTGTGGAACGGCAAGAACAAAAATTTCGTGTTTTCCAAATGGAATTTGAAAATAGACGAAATGATGTTGTAGAACCTAATACCGAGAGTACATTTATACTCAAACCAAATAATGATAATAACAATCTACGTAATTACCGCTATATCGAAGATGACTATACTGTGAAACCAACTGTTTTGCTCAAAAAGGTTTACTTGTTCTTGGGTCAAGGTATGATCTTGGCATTTGTAATTATGAAAACTCTTAATGGCAAAGATGATTTAAAGTAAGTATAATTTATTGAAATCAATTGCTTATTTAACAATTACAAATATTTAATTTATTTTTACAGAAACCAATTACCCCAAAAACTACGTACGGCTGTTGATATGATAAGTTTCTAAGGAAATTATTGGAAAATGTACAATTGAAATTTTACTCAACTTGGCAATGGAACAAATACTGTATATAATATATATTAGAGAAATCAAAGATATAAAACGTGTACCTAAAAGCAAGATTATTTTATTTATTTATTATGAAAAACTTATAAATTTAATCCACATACAAATAATTTTGTGAGCAACGAGTTTAACTAATGCAAAAATAGTGTAAAATATTATTATCGAAATATTTATATATAAATGTATACTAATAAATATGTAAAAATATTGTTATATTAAAATAATTAAAAATATGCAAGAAATATAAAGCTGAGTTTGATTCGTTACTTTTTTTTGTAATTTTTAAATTTTTTATAACTTCAAAACGGAAAAATTTCCATGGAAACTAGGGGTGATTGAAAATAAATATACTTTCCCGATCAAATATACATAATAATATAAAGAATTTAAATGTACTTATGCTTAAACAAATCTCATCGAGTTGATCTGAGGAAAAGCGTCTTCAGTTTATGAAAAAAATGTAATTATAGGTTTTCACACAAAGAACAATCTTTTGAATCTTTAGTTACCGAGAAAAATTATTTTTTTGGGTGGAAAACAAATGTTTTGAAATAAGAGAGAGAGAGTAAGTTAGTTTGCACATATATCAAATCCGCAGGAATACACATAATCCTCTATCCGACATCCGGTTTACCAAACTAGAACACTAACCTACCAGTGACCACACCGTCAGTTAACATTAGAAAAGTATTTGTTATAAATCAGAAATTTGCATAAGGAAGATTTCAGTTCCCATAAAAATGGTTTATGTTGAAATTCATATATCTAGTCGTATTTTAATGTCAGTAATGAGCGTTAAAGGTGCCCTTGCACGGGAGTGGGGTCAATTATGGACCGATCCTCCTAAAATTTAGAATGATTTTTGTTCATACAAATATTGTTTATATCGCATTTTTGAGCCAGTAATGAGCGTTTCTAAAGAGGACCTTAAATGGGGGGTAGAGTCAATTATAGACCGATACTCATATATATATATAAAGAGGACATTTTTGCTCATATAAAACTTATTTATGTGAAATTTTATCGTTGTAGTCGTATTTCAGCGTTACAGACAGTAATGAGCGTTACAGTATTTTTCTGAAGGTGGGTTGGGTCAATTTTAGACCGATCCCCATAAAATTTGATAAAGGATTTTTGACTAGCACAAAACTTGTTTATGTAGAATTTCACAGCTGTAATTGCATTTTTGACTCAGTACTTAAAGTTAAAATCATATTCTGAAGGGGACCTTATAAGGGGGTATGGTCAATTATAGACAGATCCTCATAAAATTTAGTAGGGAGGTTTTGGCTCATACGAAGTTTTATCGCTGTACTCGCAGTTTTATGCTAGTAATTAGCGTTAAAGTCATTTTCTGAAGGGGACCTCATATGGGGGGTAGGGTCAATTAAGGACCGATCCTTGTAAAATTTGATAGAGAGCTTTTTACTCACACAAAACTTGTTAATGTAAAATTTCACCGCTGTACTCGCATTTTTGAGTCGGTAATGAGCGTTAAAGTAATTTTCTGAAGGGGACCTTATATTTAAAAAAATAATTTTAGTTCATATAAAACTTTTTTATGTCGAATTTCATTGCTATGTATGCTACTTAAGGTCAGATATGAACATTAAAGTCATTTTCTGAAGGGGATCTTATAAGGAGGGTAGGGTCAATTATGGACCGATCCTTATAAAATTTTACGAAGAGATTTAGGTTCCCCTAAAACATGTTTATGGCGAATTTCACCGCTTTAGATGTTTCTTTTAGACAGCTATAAGCGTTAAAGTAATTTTTTTTGAAGGGAACCTTATATGGAGTGTAGGGACAATTATGGACCGATCCTTGCAAAAAATTTTACGAAGAGATTTAAACATGTTTATACCAAATTTCACCGCTATAGATGCTTCTTTTAGCCAGTTATGAGCGATAAAGTCATTTTCTGAAGGGGGCCTTATATGGGGGCTAGGCGAAATCGTGGACCGATATTGCCCATTTTCAATACCAAACAAACTGCATCAAGTATGCAAAATTTCAGCTGTCTATCTACTTCCGTTCGGACTCTATCGTGTTTTCAACAGACAGACCGACAAACGCAGACAGACCCAGAATATATATACTTTTATGGGTTTTCGACGAATATTTCAATTTATTACAAACGGAGTGACAAAAACAAATCTTTTTTGATGGTGGGTATAAAAAGTGGGACACTTCTATAAAATTTCAGCCGCAAATTTAAAGTATCGTTTACTGTTATTGTAATTGCAATATAATCTTATAAGATTGATAAAATTGTATTAAAGACAAAATGTTATCAAATGACGAGTGGCTTTTATTCGTGCTTTAGTTAAACCTTATGAGCCTCTTAAGCTTAATTCTTTTCCATAATTCGCAACAGCGGCTCACAACTAAAATCGATCAAATACTTAAGAGTTCAAACATTACATTCCTGAAAATGTTCGGAGAGAATTTCTCCATCAGATCTGGATATCAAGCTTTACGTTAAGATATCTTGATAATATATCTAAAAGAAGGAATAAGATATAGTAGAGGTTAAATCTTGGACTTTCATATGGCATAACAAAATCTATAAATAAAGCTATCGTAGCGCTATTACATACTATGTGTCTCAAAAACGAAAATTTCTCAAGCTTTGTGACAAGATACATATCTCGAAAACTTGATGAGATGGAGAATTTCTATTTCCTGATTTGAAATCCGTGTTTTGGTAACCTCTAGCATAACATAGTTCGATCTCGGAATTAAAAATTGTTATGTAATTGTTCTAAAATAAACATACATGAAATAGTTACAATATGGATATTAAAATAGATATCCCTCTAAGATGACTTTAGAAAAAATTTTCACTTTATTGTAATGCCTAATAATGTTTCATAAAATATGAATTTAACTTATGTTATTTTTGCTAGATGAACAAAGATTTTCTTTTTACTATAAAATTTTACAGAATGACGTCATAAACGTTTTATAATACTGCAATTTCATTCATAAAAATTTCATTGATAAATAGAAAATAATTTGCTTCTAATACTCCTACAACTTTTAGTACATATGCGGTGGTGCACATGTGCGATAAGACAATTAAATCAATCATTTATTAATTTAAAGTTCAATGAAAAGGAAATATTAAAACTTTCTTTTGCAAAGCAGAGAAAAATTGGGTATAAAAGCCGCAAGAAAATGACTAAGAACCACAGTCAATACAAAGACTTCGAACGAAAGGATTACCAAAGTGGTATAACCGCAATATAAATAAAAAAAGAGTTTTAAGCAAGACTACTGTACAGAAGATAAATCTTAAATTTCCAACAAAAACTCTGTAATCAATTGAAAAGAAAATAAGTCGAGTCACAATGTTATTTGGTTCTTGGCAGTTGAAAACAACTATCTATGTTCTATTTTTGGCTTCGTGTGTAGGTCAGGAACTATTTCGTGCTTGTGATCGTGATTATTGTTTTGAACGTTCTGTCGAGAGCCGCAAAGAAGGTCTAAATGTGGATAATCGTCGAGAAGATCTAACTCTAAATGAACTCCGTCAACGCCAGAGCAAATGTGGTGTACGTCGTGAAACTTTAAGGCGATTAGATGACCGAGATCTGATCAGACACTCAAATGAGAACCGCGATCGTCCTCAGACTTTACGAAAATTTAATGAACACGATGAAACTAAACGTGAACGAACAGAACGTTATGAAAATTTAAGTCGTTCTGAAAATAACCGTGAAGAAACTCGTGAAAGCAAACAGAATAATATGGAAAATCGAAACAAATTACGACGATTGAACGAACTTGAAGCTCAATATGATGCAAACAAACGGTCAGAAAACAACCGTGAAAAGCGTCTTGAACGTGAAGATCAACGTGACCTCAACAGACGTTCAGTAGTTTCTCGCGATTCCCAAAGGAAACATGAACCAAGTCAACGTCGTGATGAAAATAAACGAGAACGTATAGAACGCCATGATATCTCAAGAATTAGCAGACATTCAGAGGACAATCATAAAGTACTTTATGCTGAACGTGACATTAGAAGCCGTGTTGATGAACGTCAAGATTCCCAAAGGCGACTTGATGACCGTGAATCTCAACGTGATGTTAACAGCAATTTAGGCGACACTCGTTTTTCAGATGAACGTCTTTCCCAAAGAAAATGGAAATCAATAGAACGTTTAGATAATAATAAACGCGAAGATACTCGACAGTCTCGGCGTATACATCAGCGTCTCTCCAAAAGGGAACGTGAGTTCACACAACGTCGTGATGAAAATAAACGGGAGCGTGAAGAACGTCATGAACTTTTAAGACGACTAAATGATCGTGAAGCTCAACGAGAAAGTAATAGGCTTTCAGAAGAAAACCATGAACGAGTAGATCGAGTTGAATCTTTAAGACGAATTGATGACCGCAGACAAGTTCAGCTTGATATTAGCAGACGTACAGAAGAGAACCATGGACAACGTCAAATTGACAATCGTGAAACCCATCGTAATGTTGAAAGACGAGCAGATAATACTTTTCAGTCTCGACGTATAGATGAACGTCTCTCCCAAAGGAAACGTGAGTTAACACAACGTCGTGATGATAATAAACTGGAACGGAAAGAACGCCATGAAATATCAAGACGGCTTAGTGAGCGTGAAATCCAACGAGAGTTTAACAGACATTTAGAAGACAACAATGAGGAACGAAAAGCTCAGCGTGATGCTAGAAGGCGTGCAGATGATACTCGTGAATCTCTTAGAATTGATGAAGGACTCTCTGAAAGGGAACGTGAAGCAACACAACGTCGTGATGAAAATAAACGAGAACGTGATGAACGTGTAGAACGACATGAACGGCAAGAAACTATAAGATTTAATGATCGTCAATTAGAACAAAATAGCCGTGAAGTACAACGTGATGTTAACCGACGTTCAGATGATATTCACCAGTCTCGACGTAAAGATATTCAGAAACCTTCACAAAGAGAACGGGAATCAAGCCAACGTCGTGATGTAAATAAAAGAGAACGAGTAGAACGTTACGAAACTTTGAGGCGACTTGATGAGCGTGAAGATGAACGTAGTACCACCAGACGTTTAGAAGACTCTCGTGAATCTCGACGTAATAGTAAGGTACATGAACAGAGGGAACAAAGTGATATTAGCAGACATATTGATAATACCCATGATTCTCGAGAAGAACGGGAAGTAAGACAGAATCGTCGCCAAAATGAAAACGAATCTTTGAAGCGTGAATCACTACGACAAGAAAACAGACGTTTAGTAGATAATCGCAAGGAACGTCAAGAAGATTTAAAACAATTAGATGTACGTGTTGATATTAGGCATTCTGATAGTACTCCTGAATTTGAAGGCTTAATTGAAACTAGACGTGAACGACAAGAACGTGGAGAAACTTTAAGACGAATTGATGATCGTGAAGCTTATCGTGACTTCCGCAGAATATCAGAAGACAAACGCGAAGACCGTCGAGAATCTTTAAAACAATTGGATGAACAACGTACGGATGATAGAAGACCTGAAAGCAGTAGACGTTTGGATGACAAACGCGAAGATCAACGTGATATCAACAGAATTTCGAAAGACAATCGTGAAGAACGTCATGAAACTTTAACACGATTTGATGATCGTCAAACCGAACGAGCTGTAAGCATGCGTTTAAATGCTATTCTTAAATCTGAACGTGTCTCACAAAAGGAACGAGAAGAAATAGAAACCCGCGAAACCTTAAACCGATTTGATGATCGTCAATCCGAGCGTGAAGTTACCAGACGTTCAAAAGACATCAGCGAAGATCGTCAATTTAGACAAGAAGCTCAACGTGAAGTTATTAGGCATTCAGAGGATGACACCCGTGATTCTCCGCGCACTGATAAACGTCTTTCTCTAAACGAACGAGAACGAGTTGAAAGTTATGAAACTTTGAAACGATTTGATGACCATGAAACTGAACGAAAAGTAAATCTACGTTTACAGGAACGACTTTCCCAAAGAGAACGAGAAATGGGACGTCAAAACGAAGAGCAAGAACATAGAGGAGAACGTGTGTTACGGCAAGAACAAAATTCTAGTGTTTTCCAAATGGAATTTGAAAATAGACGAAACAATGTTTTAGAACCTAATACCGAGCGTACATTTATACTCAAACCAAATAATGATAATAACAATCAACGTAATTACCGCTATATCGAAGATGACTATGCTGTGAAACCAACTGTTTTCCTCAAAAATAGCTACTTGTTCTTGGGTCAAGGTATGATCTTGGCATTTGTAATTATGAAAACTCTTAATGACAAAGATAATTTAAAGTAAGTACAATTTAATGAAATTAATTGCTTATTTAACAATTACTGATATTTCATTTATTTTTGCAGAAACCAATTACCCCAAAAACTACGTGCGGCTGTTGATATGATAGGTTTTTAAGGAAATGGAATATGTACAATTGAAATTCTACTCAACTTGGCAATGGAACAAATACTGTATATAATATATTAGAGAAATCAAAGACAAAAAATGTGTACCTAAAAGCAAGATTATTTTATTTAAATAAATATATTATGAAAAACTTATAAATTTAATCCCCATACAAATAATTTTGTGAGCAACGAGTTTAACTAATGCAAAAAGATGTTGTATTGTATAATATTATATAAACTAATATAAACGAGTAATAGTATTGTTATTAAAATAATAAAAATATGCAAAAAATGTAATGCTGATTCAGATTTTCTAATTTTTCATGAAAAATGCATCATTTGTCTATAACAAGAGTCGCTTTAAAGATCGATTCATCATCGAACAGTCTAAAGGGCACGACCTAGAATCATGACATTTTGACGTTTTTTTGGCTATATAGATCTACTAAGAAGAAATTTTCGCAAATTACAACTTTTAGAAATAAAGTATATGACACTTTTTGGAAGTTAAAATTTTTAAAGGGCTAAAATGTTAAAAAAACACTATAGGAGTGAACTCGTTGGTACTTTATCGTTCTTTAACTGATATTTTTGAATCGATTATAATATTGAACATATAGAGTAAATTCATTTTGTAATGCTTTTTCGTTTTACAACTTTTTCTTTTGAATCTTCATTAATATTAAACGTAGAAACATAGAACTAAATACGCAGCATCCTGATCCAAATCTAGAAAAGGGGACTTTATGGTACTTTATCGTCTTTCAACTGGTATTTTTTGAATTTATTGTAATAAAATACGTACTGACTGTTAAACACAATATGGTGAATCCGAAAATAGAACTTACTTGTTATATCTACATTAGTTATTTCTTTAAAAATGTTAACAAAACATACCTTTTGACACTCTTAATTCTTTTAACTTCAATATATTTAAATTTTCCAAATATAAATTGTAAAAAAATTCCACAAAAGCTATTATCTATCCTTTCCAAGTTATATATTTTTTAACTGTAATTAAAACCAGAAAATCAAACAAAATTTTGTTTCAGTCTATTTAAAACAAAACATATACTAACCTCACTTTAGAGTTTGTTTATAAAACATATCCCAGCAATAAACAATTGTTATTATTATATTCACATTGTAGTATTTAAACGATCCTGTATTTCCTTTTTAGTCTTAGGACCCACATTAGCTATAGGTGAAGGTTCTTTTGAGGTATTCTCTTCACCCGAAGTATTTTTACTTTTATTTAAGGCGCGCTCAGCTTTCATAGCGTCATATTCCTTGAGTTCAGCTAATTTTAAAGGAATCGATTGTAATTCACGTTTGCGCATCTATAAGGAAATAAAAAATTTTAAATTATCTTAAGAATGTTTCAATAATTAATAAATTATTTACCTTTTCGGTAAATTTGCAGTGAATTTATAAATATTATCAAAAAGCCGGAAAGCTTTCAGCAGAAATCCAAGTCGTTGCAAAATTCTCGACGGCGGTGACTGAGCAAAAATAATTCGTTGGCGGCTAACAGCTGGCTTAAGACAATGTTGTTACAATTTAAATTTTCACGGACAAAAATTTGAAAAATATCGAAATTTTAGGAAATACATTGCATAATTATGTATCGAAACAATATTTAAGCTTAATAGCAATTATAACTAATTTTTTGCACAGTCATTTATTAAAAGTCTTTGATAGTTGAAGTCAGTTTTATTTTTCTCACAAATACATGATCCTGCAACGATTCAAATGCAGCAGCCCTGCAAAAATTATTGTAGTATATTATACCTAGATCATGTACTTAAATAACTTTTGCAATTTCCTTTTATTTTGGAAACTGAATCTTCTCTTAAAGTTGGCATATTTGAAATATTCCTATATGTGATAAAATTCGAATGATTTGAAATCGACCGATTTGAAAGGATGTGATGAATTTCGATCAAGAAATGATTTTTATCTATTTGGAAAACACTCACATTTGGCGGCGGCTCCGAGCCACATGTCTTTGAACTCTGGGTTTCAGCTGTTTTGCTGTTTGTTATTTTAGTATAACAGTTTAAAGCACAGTATTGCCATTGTAATTTATTTCAACAGCATTGCCAGGTTATTTTTTATATGAAAATATAACGGAAAGTATTGTGAATAAGAAAAAATAAATCTATGTATTTTATTATTGAAAATTTTATTATTATTATTATTATTATTATTATTATTATTATTATTATTATTATTATTATTATTATTATTATTATTATTATTATTATTATTATTATTATTATTATTATTATTACTATTATTATTATTATTATTATTATTATTATTATTATTATTATTATTATTATTATTATTATTATTATTATTATTATTATTATTATTATTATTTACTTATTGTTATAAAAAAATTCCGAAAAATTCAATTTATAAAAATATTCAGGTATGTGATGAATTTCATTTTTAGTTAGTTAGTTAGTTAGTTAGTTAGTTTGAAAGGAGGATGTATATACATCAAATCCGAAGAAATACACCTAGGCCTCTATCGGGCCTGTAGTGTGCTCCTTAACCAGTGCCTCAGGTGGGAATCGAACCCACCACCTCCGGTCTACCAGACTAGAACACTAACCACTAACCTACCGGAGGCCATTTTTAAAATCGAATCGATTTGAAATCGACAAAAACGATTTGTTGTATGATTTAATATTAAATTTCTGCGGTTTTTCATAAAATTTATCAAATTTTTTAAATTGATTCTATTAAATGGAAAGTATATTGTTGTCTAGTGGAATTTTGTATGAAATCAATAAATCATTCTTCGACCGAAATTCATCACATCTTTTCAAATCGGTCGATTTGATATCGCTCGAATTCCATCACATACCGGATTCTTTTTACAAATATTTTGGAAAAACAATTTAATACAATTTTCTTTTATAATAAGTTTTTAGATTTTTTATAGAAATACATTTATTTTTTTTAGAGAATTTAGATTTTTTAGACAATTTTTCATGAACATGTATTTTTATGAAATTTTTCTTAAAATTTTCCTTTTCATAGAGAATTTTTTTAATATCTATATTTATTTTAAAACTTTTTCAATAAAATTATGAATTTTTTATATACATGTAAATTAAAAGAAAATTGTTGAAAAATTAACATTTATAAATATTTTCCTTAAAATTTCCTCTATAAAAACCTTTTGTTAAAAATTTATTAGAAAATTTTCCTTTTGTTTCTACTATTATTTATTTTCTGGCCAAGTTTTATTGTTAAAAAAGTTATTTATTTCTTTTTTTTCTATTCTTGCGTTAATTTTTTTTTTGACTGTAAACAGTTTTTGCAATTGTAATTTTTACATGTTTTTTGGGGTTAATTTTAGATTATTTATAAATTTTGAAAAAAAAAAAAATTGTAAAAAATTTTTTATGAATTTTCATTTAAAGAAGAAATGATGATGAATTTTTGGATTTTTTTTGGTTGCTTAATTTGAAAAACTTTTCTAAGCTTTTATAATTTATAAAAAATTTTATGAATTTTCGATTTCATCTTTTTTCTTTGATATATCTTTTGTTTATTAAAATTTTAGAAATAAAAATTATGTTTCAAAACTTTTTTTATTAAATTTTCTATTTATAAATCATCTTTTTTAATATTTTTTTTATGTAGAAAATGTTTAATGAATTCTAGTTACATTTTAAAATATTATGTTGAATATTTATGTTTTTATAAATTTTTGATGAGTTTTCTATTTTGTTTTTTTATTTTTATTTTTTTGTGTAATTTTCTTTTAAAAATAAATTTTATAAATTGTTAGAAACATTTTTTATGGATTTTCTACTTTTTTGAATAATCTTTAATAAAATTTCAGAAATGTTCTGAATTTTTGATAATTCTTTTATAAAAATTTTATGACATTTATATTTTTATAAAATTTTTGATTTATGTTTTATATTTTTAGAATATATTAAAAAATTTATATTTTAAAAAATATTATTTTTGAAGAATTTTTTGTTTTTAGAAAATATTTAATATTTTTGTAGATTAATTAATTTTTTTATAAACTTTTTGTTTTTTTTTAATTTTTGAAAAATTTTATATTTTTTGCAAAAATGTTTAATAAGTTTAAAATTAAAAAAATGTGATAATACATGCCAACGAAATGAAGGTTTGTGAAAACTTTTGAAACCAATTCGACTGATTTTAATTTGGTTTAAGCTGGTGAAACCGAATATGATATCTGTTTTTTCTATCACCCACCATTTGTTCGCAACATGGTATCGAATATTTTGTTTATATATTACTGACATTTTATATACATAATTATAAAAATATATTTACGTTTAAGGGTTAGGTTTAGATTTTTAGAAATACTCGAAATTAAAATCGCTGGTACCGCTAATATGTAAGAGATATCGACCTATTTTCTTAGCAATTTTATTCTCTTCTTTATTGTCCATTAGCCACATGGGGGTTTCTTAAAATATTCAAACTGGAGTTTTGAAACTGCCGTCTGAAGGGTTTCCCATATCATATTTGGGACAAAAGTATACAGTCAGAAGTACAAAAAGATGAAAATGTGGAAAATTTGTGGATAATTCTTATTTATTTTCATATTCGGAATCAGTACGCCAAATAACACTTTTTCTTTTTAATATTTGTTTTTATGTTTTTAGGAATTTTAATTACTTTTTTATCTTAAGATAATTTTTCTGAATATTTTGTTTTTAATTTATTTGAAAAAAAATTTTTATTTTTGAAAGATTTTCGATAAGTTTTTATTTTTAGAAAAATTTTAATATTTATTTTTGTTTTTAATTAATTTAAAATATTTAGAACATTTTTGGAAAACTTGTATACCCAACATCCTTATTAAATTCTAAAACGATCTAGCCATGTTTGTATGTCTGTCTGTTGAAAGCACGAACGAGTTAAAGAACAAATATTTCTTATGTGTAAGGTTTCTTTGGTATTGCAAATGGACAATATCGGTTCACGATTTCATATCTGTCATATCAATACAAATATAGAGAAGAAATTCAGCATAAATAAATTTTATAGGAACTTAATTCATTATTCCAAATTTAATGAGAGTAGGTCCATACTTTAAAATATCCCCTATATAAGGTCAACTTCAGATATAATTTTACGGCTGTATTTATAAAAACTTATTTTAGGTTTATTAAACAATTTTAGGCAAAATTCAAGAAAATCGTATTTATAAACGTGAAATAGCTAAAAACACCTTCAATAAACCATTGACAATTAGAAGAATTTTATTGTAGGCTCGACCCTTCTTTAAGCCAACAATAAGTTGTTTTTTTAACAATTTTTTTCTCAGATAAAGATTTTCCGGTAATTTTAGGTTGATTGCGAAAACTAATTATGGTTTCTTTTAAAATAAAATCTAAAAATTCTAATTTTAACGTTTACAAATTTGTAAATAAAATCCCAGAAAATTTTTAAACGATTACATTTTGAGGAAAAAACTCAAATCTAGGCATTATTGGATTAATGCATGAATATTTGACAATATTCCAATTGTCCAGCACTATTTTTAGGCAATTTGGAAATGCCCGTCTGTCAACCAAATGATGGACAAAATCATTTGATTTGGCTTTTTCAAAGTTTGTTGGTTAAATATAATGCCATAATGTAATTAACCATGTAAATTATATTGATTAGTGTTATACTAATGCAAAATATATTCGCCGGCATTAAAATTAGTCAAATATCAAAGAAATTTATCAATATTTGCAAACATTTATCAAAAATTACAAGAAAAATAAGTAAAAATAAGAAAATGTGTCATAGTGATGTAGATTCTGTCGCAAAATATCCGTTATTCGGATACTTTTAATAATAATTAGAAATTATATGTTATATTTATACATCTGAACTAAATAGACATTTATTAAAGCCATATATATATTTATTTTTCTTAAAAGTTTGTTTTTATTGTCAAAAATCTATTATAAACAAAAATATGAAATTAAGAAAACCGAATCAACGAATATTTTATCCTAATTGTACGCAACACTAACACATAAAATGACAGCCATATTGTACAGTGCTGCCAACTTAAACATAAATCAGCACAATAGTTAATATACGTTTATTATTTGTTTATGAATATCACAATTTTATTAATGGTTTTTAAGGCTAAAGTGTGCTTTAACTATTGAGTGCATTAAAAGCAAAATAAGATTTTTTTATAAACACAAGCGTTAATGTTTATTAATGGCTTTTCTAACAATTTCATTTTTTTTAATTTTTTTTTAAAATACTTTTTTTAAGTTTTTTTTTAATATTTTTGTTAAATTTTTTTTCTTTTCTTCCAATGATGCAAAATTTTTTAATTAATATAAATTTTTTACATAAATTCGATAAAATTTAATGCAATTTGCTACAATACATTTTAAAAATACAATACTACTTTCTTACACAACTATTCACAAAAATGCCACCCTGTTAAGTATAACACTTTTCATTACTGAATCATTCACAATAATATTTACTTTTCTTTCATTCTCTCTCTCGTTTTTGCGGTTACTCTTTGTTACTTTTTTTTGCTCTTCTTGTTTTTTTTTGTTTGCTTTGTGTCAAAAAAATCTTGTCAAGTTTTTTTGCCTTTTATTTCTTGACGAATTTTATACGTGCGTGCACTATTTTCAGCAAATATCGCATAGTTTTGGGGCGATTTTACATGGACTTTTTTTGGAACACAAATATTTTACAAAAAAAAAACGCCTTAAAAAGTGACAAAATATATTTTTGAAAAGTTTAAAACACCGTGAAGTGAAAAATGTATTAAATACGGAATTAAAGTGAAGAAAATAATCTTGACAAGGTGACAAAATCACACAAAGGTTATATACAGTTTTTTTTATTCCGTTTTGCGAGCGTGTGAGTTTGTGTGTTTTTGCATTTTAATAGAAAGAGAGAGGAGGGTATGACAAAAAGGAAGCAAAAGTAAAAAAGAAATTAACATACCAGACAAATAATGTAATAAAATAATTTAATAAAAGATAAATTTATTTATAAAAAAAGTGATAACAACATTTTTAAGAATCTTCTTCATTCCAAGTGTAAAGTTACTGCCATTTTGTTAGAAATTCAGTAAATATTTCTGAAATACCGTTAAATTTTATTAAAAATTCTCTAAATTTGTTAAATTTCAATAATTAAAAGTGTATTAAACAATAAATATGTTCATAAACAAACAAATTCCTTAATAATAAGTGAAAGTCTAAACTTTTTTAAAAATTATAAATAAATTACACTAATAGTGGTAGCAAACCCCCTCCCGCTCTGCCACCAAGTGAAATTCCATTTGTCTACAAAACTTAACAATTTCATTTGTTATTTATTTTTATTACAATTTAAAACTTAAATTTTACGTAATTTTTTTTTTTGTTTTGTCTTTATTTTCATACGGTTTCTTTTTTCAAAATCGTCATCAATATTGTGTTTATTGTTGCTGTAGTTATTAGTGTGACCATAATTAAGTTGTTGTTGTTGTTGTAAAAGGTGCTTCACTCAGTTTGCTGTTTGTTACTTTTATATTATTGCTGTTGCTTTTGCAGACAACGGAAATCACAACAACTACAAAAATATTATAACTAAAATAACCAAGATTTCCCACAATTTATTTATAATAAAAAAAAAACTACTAAACAACAACTTTTAAACAAAAAAAAAAAAACTTGTTTAAAATCTTAAAAAAACCAACCAAACAAATATTGGCGCCACTGCAACATTTAGCTATTTATTTGGATTTTACTACCATTAATTTCTATTGGAAAGTTTTTGTTTAAATATTTCATCATGGGTCTATTAATATCAAAAATATGGAGTATGTTTGGGAATGAAGGTAAGCAATAACATTTAAATATTTAAAAACAATCTAAAGTTATTTATTTACCTAATTTACAATCTGAATAGTACTCCAGAAAATTAGATCTAATATGAAAAGTAGTCCAGATTTCTATAGAAAAAGTTGTCCATATTCTAAACAATTTTCTATAGAAAAAGTTGTCCATATTCTAAACAATTTTCTATAGAAAAAGTTGTCCATATTCTAAACAATTTTCTATAGAAAAAGTTGTCCATATTCTAAACAATTTTCTATAGAAAAAGTTGTCCAGATTCTGAACAATTTTCTATAGAAAAAGTTGTCCAGATTCTGAACAATTTTCTATAGTAAAAGTTGTCCAGATTCTGAACAATTTTCTTTAGCAAAAGTTGTCCAGATTCTGAACAATTTTCTATAGAAAAATTTGTCCAGATTCTGAACAATTTTTTATAGAAAAAGTTGTCTAGATTATGAACAATTTTCTATAGAAAAATTGTCCAGATTCAGAACAATTTTCTATAGATAAAGTTGTCCAGATTCTGAACAATTTTCTATAGAAAAATTGTCGAGATTCTGAACAATTTTCTATAGAAAAATTGTCCAGATTCTGAACAATTTTCTATAGAAAAAGTTGTCCAGATTCTGAACAATTTTCTATAGAAAAAGTTGTCCAGATTCTGAACAATTTTCTATAGAAAAAGTTGTCCAGATTCTGAACAATTTTCTATAGAAAAAGTTGTCCAGATTCTGAACAATTTTCTATAGAAAAAGTTGTCCAGATTCTGAACAATTTTCTATAGAAAAAGTTGTCCAGATTCTGAACAATTTTCTATAGAAAAAGTTGTCCAGATTCTGAACAATTTTCTATAGAAAAAGTTGTCCAGATTCTGAACAATTTTCTATAGAAAAAGTTGTCCAGATTCTGAACAATTTTCTATAGAAAAAGTTGTCCAGATTCTGAACAATTTTCTATAGAAAAAGTTGTCCAGATTCTGAACAATTTTCTATAGAAAAAGTTGTCCAGATTCTGAACAATTTTCTATAGAAAAAGTTGTCCAGATTCTGAACAATTTTCTATAGAAAAAGTTGTCCAGATTCTGAACAATTTTCTATAGAAAAAGTTGTCCAGATTCTGAACAATTTTCTATAGAAAAAGTTGTCCAGATTCTGAACAATTTTCTATAGAAAAAGTTGTCCAGATTCTGAACAATTTTCTATAGAAAAAGTTGTCTAGATTCTGAAGAATTTTCTATAGAAAAGTTGTCCAGATTCTGAACAATTTTCTGTGGAAAAAGTTGTCCAGATTCTGAACAATTATCTATAGAAAAAGTTGTCCAGATTCTGAACAATTTTCTATAGAAAAAGTGTACCATGTTCTAAACCATTTTCTATAGCAAAAGTGGTCTATGTTCTAAACAATTTTCTATAGAAAAGGTTGTCCAGATTCTGAAAAATTTTTTACAGAACAGATTGTGAAATATTTTCTAAAGAAAAAGTGGACACATGTAGACAATTTTCTATAGAAAAAGTGGTCCATGTTCTAAACAATTCTCTATAGGAAAAGATGTGTAGATTCTGAACAATTTTCTATAGAAAAAATTGTCCAGATTCAGAACAATTTTCTATAGAAAAAATTGTCCAGATTCTGAACAATTTTCTATAGAAAAAATTGTCCAGATTCAGAACAATTTTCTATAGAAAAAATTGTCCAGATTCTGAACAATTTTCTATAGAAAAAATTGTCCAGATTCTGAACAATTTTCTATAGAAAAAATTGTCCAGATTCTGAACAATTTTCTATAGAAAAAATTGTCCAGATTCTGAACAATTTTCTATAGAAAAAATTGTCCAGATTCTGAACAATTTTCTATAGAAAAAATTGTCCAGATTCTGAACAATTTTCTATAGAAAAATTAACCAGATTCTGAACAATTTTCTATAGAAAAAATTGTCCAGATTCTGAACAATTTTCTATAGAAAAAATTGTCCAGATTCTGAACAATTTTCTATAGAAAAAATTGTCCAGATTCTGAACAATTTTCTATAGAAAAAATTGTCCAGATTCTGAACAATTTTCTATAGAAAAAATTGTCCAGATTCTGAACAATTTTCTATAGAAAAAATTGTCCAGATTCTGAACAATTTTCTATAGAAAAAGTTGTCCAGATTCTGAACAATTTTCTATAGAAAAAGTTGTCCAGATTCTGAACAATTTTCTATAGAAATAGTTGTCCAGATTCTGAACAATTTTCTATAGAAAAAGTTGTCCAGATTCTGAACAATTTTGTATAGAAAAAGTTGTCCAGATTCTGGACAATTTTGTATAGAAAAAGTTGTCCAGATTCTGGACAATTTTGTATAGAAAAAGTTGTCCAGATTGTGAACTATTTCCTATAGAAAAAGTTTTCCAGATTGTGAACTATTTTCCATAGAAAGAGTTGTCCAGATTTTCTCAATTTTGGGAACAGATTCTGTTGTCTTTTGAGCGCAATTTTATATAGATTCAATGAAATTTTTTTAGAAGGAAAATATTTTAAATTTGTAACTAATATTCTATCAAGAAAATACCATAAAATTCTTTATATATACACACTCCTTATGCAAACAAATGCGTCACGACACCAACGCTTACAATATCTATAAAAAAAAACAATCACTAATGATTCACCTTCCTTCCATGACGCTTAAAAAATGACTTGACTTCATCATAACAAGAAATGTGCATAATTTGATGAAAAAATACATGTTCATAGAATGAAAACAGAAATAGACTATAAATTAATTAAGAATAAAAAACAGTTCACAGCCAGAATAAAGTCATTAACCCGAAAATATAATAAAAAAGCAAAAAAACCGTAGAAATATTTATTCTTATGCAGACACAAGGTCAATGAAAATATGAATATATTTCAGAGAATAAATACTCAACAAACAGAAACAGAAAAAAAGGGTGCAGTCAAAATGTCTGGAGGTGAGAGGTGTAGCATTCATATATCATTATAGCAAAAAAACTCGTTAGAATTGCAAACAGAATTTTCGAAATATTTAACTTGTTAAATTGAAATATTTTATGTCAGTTATTAAATTATAAACATTTTAAACTTTTTGTGATGACAGTTAAAATAATATTTATTAATATTATGTTTCAAAAACATTTGTTTATATTCCCACACTTTCTAAAAATGTTAATGGTCAGTGTAATAAAATAAAAAAAAAATAAAAATTTTCTAAATTAAATTTTATTTTTAACAAAATTTTCCATTTTATAAGTATGCATTGTTAAAAATAAAATTCCTTTACTTAAGTGCTCTGAATCTATGATATTGTCTTCTGTAACCATGGCGTGAGACCCACATTTATCTTTTTCTTTTCCAGTGTAATAATAAAATACAAGAATTTATTATTTTATTCAATATTGAAAAATATGTATAAATAAAGTATTTTTATTGTAATATGAGTAGCTATGTGGGTTAATTATATTATGATTCTTTCACTAATAATCTAAAGAAGAAAATACAAATAGAAATTATATAAAGCTTGAGGTGGGTGGCATTAGGCGACTTTAAATAGATTTGATAAGAAAAATACATTAGTAGATCCGTAAATATTTTTTTTTAAGAAAATCAAGTTCGAATTGTGAATAATTTTCTATAGAAAATGTTCCAGATTGTGAAGAATTTTCTATAGAAAATATTTTCCAGATTGTGAACAATTCTCTATACAATGTGATGTTCAGATTGTGAACAATTTTCTATAGAAAATATTGTTAAGATTCTGAACAATTTTCTATAGAAAATGTTGTTAAGATTCTGAACAATTTTCTATAGAAAATGTTTTCCAGATTCTGAACAATTTTCTATAGAAAATGTTGTCTAGATTCTAAACAATTTTCTATAAAAAATGTTGTCCAGATTCTGAACAATTTTCTATAGAAAAAGTTGTCCAGATTCTGAACAATTTTCTATAGAAAAAGTTGTCCAGATTCTGAACAATTTTCTATAGAAAAAGTTGTCCAGATTCTGAACAATTTTCTATAGAAAAAGTTGTCCAGATTCTGAACAATTTTCTATAGAAAAGGTTTTCCAGATTCTGAACAATTTTCTATTGAAAAAGTTGTCCAGATTCTAAACAATTCTGAACAATTTTCTATAGAAAATGTTGTCTAGATTCTAAACAATTTTCTATAAAAAATGTTGTCCAGATTCTGAACAATTTCTATAGAAAATGTTGTCCAGATTCTGAACAATTTTCTATAGAAAATACTGTCCAGATTCTGAACAATTTTCTATAGAAAATGCTGTCCAGATTCTGAACAATTTTCTATAGAAAATGCTGTCCAGATCCTGAACAATTTTCTATAGAAAATGCTGTCCAGATTCTGAACAATTTTTTATAGAAAATGCTGTCCAGATTCTGAGCAATTTTCAATAGAAAATGCTGTCCAGATTCTGAAAAATTTTCTATAGAAAATGCTGTCCAGATTCTGAACAATTTTCTATAGAAAATATTGTTAAGATTCTGAACAATTTTCTATAGAAAATGTTGTCCAGATTTTGAACAATTTTCTATAGAAAATGTTGTCTAGATTCTAAACAATTTTCAATAAAAAATGTTGTCCAGATTCTGAACAATTTTCTATAGAAAAAGTTGTCCAGATTCTGAACAATTTTCTATAGAAAAAGTTGTCCAGATTCTGAACAATTTTCTATCGAAGAAGTTGTCTAGATTCTGAACAGTTTTCTATAGAAAAAGTTGTCCAGATTCTGAACAATTTTCTATAGAAAAAGTTGTCCAGATTCTGAACAATTTTCTATAGAAAAAGTTGTCCAGATTCTGAACAATTTTCTATAGAAAAAGTTGTCCAGATTCTGA